GAAGAGGAGCTCAAAGAAGCCAACATCACCTGGAATACGGCAAAAGAACAGCCGCGAACAGAGTCCGCTGGCGCAGCATTGTAAGCGCCCTTTGTTCCACCAGGTGCGTAATGGCCTAACTAACTACGTTCCTTATTTTCTTACAAAGTAACACAGCTATGAGCAGCTAAAATTATGTATTAATAGATTTATAGTTAGACTGAATTGCAGTTGCCTTCTCTTCATCTGAAAACCACGTCTGAATCAAATGGCATTCAAAACTTTCTCAGGTCTTTCTTTTCGGTCTGTGGTTTTGACTTTGCATTGCAGTAGTTATCAGTTTTTGAAAACTTAATGTCATTCTGAAAGTAATCAAGAGGCCCTTTAGGCTACCCCCGCTTGTTACCCTATAACTGGAAGAAAAAATAAGTGAAAGCGAACAGTTCTTTGATACTTGGAGAAGCTATGCATCTAAACCAGGCGGGTAATGATGTATTCTTTTTTGAAAGAAAAAATAAACAAAATATCAAGTCACTGACATAATATTGTCAGATGGTCAGCTTTTTGGTCGAATTAAGGTACAGTTAATGCTTAATCGTACCTTTTTGGTACACTTCGGNTGAAGATGTAAAAAGCAGGATAGGCAAAGCCAGGCAGGCCTTTAATACCCTAAGCCCAATGTGGAACTCAGCATCAAAATCCACAAAATCCAAGCTTCGAATCTTTACTACCAGTGTGAAGTCAGTTCTTCTACGTGGTTCCGAGACCTTGAGAGTCACAAGATCCATATCAAAGAAGCTGTAAATCTTCACTAATCAATGTCTGAGAAGGATCCTTCAGATATACTGGCCAGAGAAAATCAGCAACAGGGAACTTTGGGCAAGAACAGAGCAAGACTGTATTCCAGTAGAGATCGCCAGGCGCAGATGGAATTGGATTGGCCAAACATCGAGGAAACCAACATCTCACACAACCTGACCCTAGAATGGAATCCCCATGGTAAAAGGAAGGTAGGAAGACCAGTGAAAACCTGGAGAAGGTCAGTCGATGAGGAGCTCAAAGAAGCCAACATCACCTGGAATACGGCAAAAAGATCAGCCGCGAACAGAGTCCGCTGGCGCAGCATTGTAAGCGCCCTTTGTTCCACCAGGTGCGCAATGGCCTAACTAACTACGTTCTTTATTTTCTTACAAAGTAACACAGCTATGAGCAGCTAAAATTATGTATTAGTAGATTTTATAGTTAGACTGAATTGCAGTTGCCTTCTCTTCAACTGAAAACCACGTCTGAATCAAATGGCATTCAAAACTTTCTCAGGTCTTTCTTTTCGGTCTGTGGTTTTCACTTTGCATTGCAGTAGTTATCATTTTAAACTTAATATCATTGAGAAAGTAATCAAGAGGCCCTTTAGGCTACCCCTGTCTTGTTACCCTATAACTGGAAAAAAAGATAAGTGAAAGCGAACAGTTCTTTGATACCTGGAGAAGCTATGCATCTAAACCAGGCGGGTAATGATGTATTCGTTTTTGAAAGAAAAAATAAACAAAATATCAAGTCACTGACATAATATTGTCAGATGGTCAGCTTTTTGGTCGAATTAAGGTACAGTTAATGCTTAATCGTACCTTTTTGGTACACTTCGGCAATATGGCCAGCTCGTTTGATTTCATCAACAGCCAACAAAAAAGTTATTATTTTTTTTTTTTGTTACCCCAGAGTTTCCTCCGGCGACCCATCTGCTGACCGCGGGGCTGGGCGCGTCGGCCA